GGGGATCCCTTAACTAGCAATCACGTGAGGCCTTGAGAAGAGTACCTGAGAGACAGGCCCATGTTACCGGGTCACGATTTCGATGAGGCCAAACCGATCGCAGTTGAAAACCGGATCAGGCCGAACTGATCGCAGTTTTCAAGACGATCAGGCTTTCTATCAGGCCGAACCGATAGCCTGTCTTCTTTAAGAGCTACTTTGCAGTGGGTGCGAAGGGCTCTTTCTTTCTCCACTCTCCCCGGAACGAAGTTACCCGAATTACTAACTAATTATTGGGGGAGGAGAGGCCTGTCTCCCTTCTCACCCCCACCATGTCCTGCTCTCCCAAATGAAATGACCATGCTTCTTCAGACCCCCTTCCACATCCCCTTCCTTCCTAAAAGCAGCACGCAGAACATGTTGGGGGGTTTTGTTTGTTTGGTTTTATATTTTTTTAATAAATCAGTTTTTAAAGTCTCATCTTTCGGAGAAACTTCTACATTTGCTCGCGCTTCTGTTATCCTTTGCTGGATAGTCTATCCTTAAATCAAAGAGGGGGTCTAGGACAGGTCAGGGGAGGGGAAATCGCCCCCATTTTTTACCTGGTTGCAGCGCCTTGCTTGTAGGAGAAGCTCGAGTTGGATTTATGCACAAAGGATCTGCCTATGCTTGGTAGGAGACTCGCTGCAGGCTGACCTGTGCGCCGAGAGAGGCTGGGGGAGCAGTAAAGAAATATTCAGGCAATAGAAATAACATCAATCCATTTCCTGGGGGTGATGAGATCCTAAACAGCCGGACGCGGGCTGTCGTGCCATCGGAGCGACCCATGTCTGCAGCCTCTACTCACTTGAGTAATCCCGATTTAGGCTGCGCCTCTGGGTGACTCGTCTGCCTAGAGACTGAAGGATCAGGCCCGAAACTGAGCACCCTTTTCGTTTGAAGCACCTATCATGACACTTGCATAACACAATAAAAATAAAAAATCCTCACTCCTGAAGAGTGCTTCGGCTTCTTGTTGGCCGCGGACTCCAATTCATTTGTGCCTACAATAATATTAAGAGATAATAATTCAGATGATCTCTTTCGTTAGGGATATGCTGCCGACCGGGCTCAAGTGCTTGGAGCAGGCTGTTCATTAACTGCGATCTTTAGAAAAGAAAATACTTTGCGAGCCTGGGTGAGGGTGGTTATTATTATTTAGCGTCCTGAAAATCATGAAATAGGCTAGCGAGTGTCAAAGTGAATAGAAATAGAAATTAATAAACCAACCCGGAAAGCAGATTCTGCGTTCAGAGAAGCAGCAGACTTGCACCAATGGAAAAATCCTTCATTTTGCATGCCCACCTCCCTGTCCAGATGTGTTTGCAATCGTTGTTATAACATTAAAAAAAAAAAGGCAAATGAAGAGCAGCGGCTGTGGGTAGAGCTGGGGCGGCTGAAGGAAATAATCCCGTCCGACAAGATGTATTCATCCCAGGGCTGGAGGGAACAGAAAAACAACTTCCCATCCGAAGCAGGGGAGGCAAAAGTTGTGCATCTCAATTTTTTAGATAAATTAGCCATCCAGGCAAGCGCCGCGGCAGGGCAAGTGAATTTGTCATGCGAGGCTTGTCTTGACAGAGTCGGCTGCAGGGACCTGCAGAGAGGAATTAAGTCTTTTTTAATTACCTCCCAAATAATTTAGCTACAGCTCAGCCACTAGGCCCGGCCCTGCGAAGGAGCAGGGAATACAGCTCGCAGCTCTTCCTAAGGCCTTCTTTGGTTTTGAAGATAAATCGCCGAGTCATTAATAAGTCTCAGAAGTGCCCCGAAAAAACATAGCTCGACCTTTTTTATTCCTCCCCTCCCCCGCTTTGAAAAATCGCCACTTCCTAGGACAAAATCCGTGTTATTTCCCCAAACTTTTGAAAAAGTGACTAAGTGAATTTCAGCCCTAGCTCTTGTCGCAATTATTATTATCACCATCATCAGTATTATTTTATCATCATCATCGCCATCATTACTATTATTATTTCAGCCCAAAATGTTTGTGAGCTCCAGTCTGCGGCATTTTCTGTACCAGCTAATAATGCACCCAGTTCAGACATTAAAAAAAAAAAAGAAAGAAAGAAGAAGAAGAAAAGATTACCGAAATGATGATGACATGCAAATTTCCCCAGAAATTATCATAAGTAAACATTTGAAGCCTGGACTAATAAAATCCCATCTGTGTTACTTCATATCGAGTTAGTAGAGAGCTGTGATAATGAATTTTGTAATATCTCACGAACAGACATCTCAATCAGGCACTAATCCTGTGATTTTACTGCAGAATCACTAAATCTGGAGGAGCCAAATTGGGCTGCTCTTTGGCACAGAGAGAGCAGAGGCGCGGGGACCAGCAAGCGCTCCCAGGCTGGGAAACCCTGCGTTGCCAGCGCCGGGCGCCCACTGCCTGGCCGCCTCCTGGCTCCTGCACTCGGACTTCCCAGACAAGGAGCTCGGGTAGTCAGCAGAGGCTCCTTAATGAATAACAAGGACCTGGCTCGGTTCTCCCTGGGCCACACTCCTGTAATCTGCTCGTGCCTCTGCTTTACCTGCTCCCCCACTGCAGCTGCTCCGTTTGTGCCTGCTTGAACCTGCCTTCAGCACAATGGACCTGGGGCTTGCCCAGATCAGGGCAAGAACCTTCCCAGTGTAACACACACACACACATACACAACCAAAAAAAAAACAACCCCCCCTCAAAAAAAACCAACAACACAGACATCTCAATCAGGCACTAATCCCCTGATTTTACTGCAGAATCACTCATTTTACTGCGCGGCTGGGATTTTCCCCTTCCTTGCTTCAGCTCCTGTTTTTTTTTAAGGCAGAAGCGCAAGGGAGGCAGACGTTTTAGGCCAGCTGTAGGAAACTGTAGGGATCTAGCCAGTGTCACGGTCTCAAACCTCCAAGACAAACGCTAGGAGTTGTATGGGGGCAGCCCACGAGTGAGAAGAAACCACGCCGCTTCAAGGCAGCCAGGCGCACTGTGCAGCGCGTGCCTACCCCGGCACAAATACAATGCGGAGTATTTATTATTATTATTTGTCTTTACCAAGGCGGATTTGACGCTTTAATAGTGGCTGATCATGATCATCATGCTCCGAGTGTTTGCAGGCTCTTTCTAGGGCAGGGGGGGAACTGGGGAGGGGGGGCACGGGGACTTGCTTGGGACCTTGTTTGGACCTGTTTTCCTAAAGACTGATGTAGCAATCTTTGCTGGGATGTTGTATCAGTCTTTAGGAAAACAGCCCGGCTTCTTATGAAGATGATCTTCATAGAGACCATAGATAAGTAGGGCTGGAAGGGACCTCAAGAGGTCGTTTAGCCATGATGATGATGATGATGACGATGATGATAATGATTTCTTCTGAAGTGCTCATCTTTTTTTTAAAAAACAACCAACCAACCCCGATCCATTTAATGTTTTGCAGATAACGGGTAATGGAGTCCAACTGTCGCAAACTTGTATCCGCGTGTGTTCAGTTAGGTAAGGCCAGCTCTTTCCCAGCCGTGACTTTGCAACCCCGTGGCTTTTCTGCCGCCCCGCGGGGCAGGCGGTGCGGGGACATGAGGCTGCCCTCTCCCTGCGCAGAGAGGGGTGCGTGCCCTCGGCCCCGGTGGCGGCCCCAGGGGTGGGGAGGAAAGGACCCCTCTCCGGGCTGGGGGCAGGGGGGTTGAGGAGCTGGGGGTTGCCCCGCTGTGTGGCTGCGGCCCTGACCGACCGCCCTGTGCCCCCGCCTCGCCCTCTCTGTGCCCGCGCAGGGGTGCAGCCTGCCGCCGCGGGGGGGCGCACCTTGCCGCCGTCGAATGCCTTTTCTCCAAGGACGCGGACCTGAAGAAGGGAGACTTCAGTGACTCGGCGGACAGCAGGAAAGAGGCGACCAGCAGCAAGCTCTTCGGCAGGCAGCATCCCAGCGCCCACGGTAGGCCGCCGTCCCCGCCCCTGTCCCTCCGGGCCGCGCATGGGGCCGCGGCAGCGGGTGCTTGGCGGCGCGCTCCCCCGGGCCTCCGCGGGCGCGCGGCAGGGGACCCTCCGGGGAGGTTTCCCTGCCCAGCGCAGCCCGCTCCGGCCCCGCCGCGCTCAAACGTGGTCCAACAGCGACCTCTGCTGCTCCGGGCCTGCGCCGCCACGCACCGAGCCCGGCCAGCCGGGCACAGAGCTGCCTGGGACGTGTGCGTGCATGCGTGTGTAACCAGAGTGTGCGTGTGTGCGGGACCAGTGTGTGTGGGGGGGGCAGTGTGTGTGTATGTGTGTGTGTGCGCGGATGGGACCAGTGTGTGTGTGACCTGTGTGTCTGGGACCAGTGTGTGTGTCAGTGTCTGGGATGTGTGTGTGTGTGTGTGTGTGTTTGTGTCTGGGACCAGTGTGTGTGTCAGTGTCTGGGA